AGAATGGGAAAAATTAAATAAGAGAGAGAGAGAGAGAGAAAGAAAAAGAGAGAGTGAGAGAGAGACAGACAGACAGACAGACAGACAGACAGAGAAGAGAGAGAGACAGAGAAGAGAGAGAGACAGAGAAGAGAGAGAGAGAGAGAGATTGTGATCAACTGACGGGCTGACGAATAATGACAGGGAGAAAAAAAAATTCTGTGTGTGATACGGACTGTTCAATTCTTTCAGAGTTTTATGTTATAATCTAGTTTAAATATCAAAAAGATGTGTAAAATAAGAAGTAAACTTGTCCAAGTAACATAAAATTATCAAACATATCAAATTATAAAGATAATCTTTCAAGATGTTAAAATATTTAAGTATTAGAAATGGATAAAAAATATACTTTAAAACTGAATTTAAAATATTGTGATTGCAGGATTCTAGGCGTGTGCCATAACTAACTTTATGTGTAAGGAATAGCGAACACAACAGAAGGTCGATGGCAGCTTTATCTGAAATGCTAACAGTATTTCTTGGTCTATAAATAATAATATTATTGATTACAATAATTTTGTTTCCTGGTTTTCACAAAGTGGAGCGCACAATGATTTCAAATATTTAAAAAAAAGAGATAATAGTACCTTTGGAGGTGTGATCGCATGCATGAGCGTGGATGACCTTTGAAGGTTTTTTGGGTTTTTTGTTCAGTAAAGTATGATAGGGAGAGCAGCGTTTTTAGTCTCTTATTACACTCCGGGAGGGGGGGGGGGTAATTTATCTTAGTGATGACTCTTGTGTATTAAAATTTGTTGTTGCTTTGTTTGGTTTATTTTTTAACAGCAGAATCTTAACTGAACCGGAATTATTGATTGTGGGATCTTAGGTGAAGACTACAACAATAGAATTAAACCGAGTATAGTTCTATCTAACAAGACTCAAACCCTTATCCACCCCACCCTACCCTCTCCCCTCATCTGATATGGTTTGGTGTTTCTTTAACAGAAAATATTCACCATTATTGTTGTTGAGTATTGATTTCCTATTCTAATGGAGCCTCTAGATATCTACATTTAGACAACAGTAGCATCTAATTTGCACACACAATGGAAAGCAATATAAATGTATAATATGTTTATACATACACACACATAATAATTATATATTATATATATAAGAATAAAAATACTTTTTTAAAAATTGAGTATCTCGGTCTTTCTGCTGGGGTATTGTATCCCTTTCAGCCTGGGTTGGCCTTGGCAGGTAGCGCCGGAGCCAGCCTCTTATGAATGTTAATGATCTAAGTTGTGTTGCTGGGGGCATAAAAACACTTTCTTTCAATTTTTTAAAAAGGAAAACAACTTAACTGTGGAAACTTCGGTCCACTGCAGCATCATATCGGTTCTTACACTTAAATACAACACAGATGCAAGGCATTTTTACTAATTGACTTGCCTAATCTCAAGGACCTCGGAATAAAACCTTCTTTCTTATCTAGATTTCAGTGCGCGAGTCAAGCATTCGCTCAGCGCAGGTAGCCCACAGTTCTGCCGCGAGAGAGGGCTCCTATCAGGCGTGCGGTGCCGCCCACAGAGCATCCTCCATTACTTTTAATCTCCTTGGGTAGCGTCAATTTCCTCCGAGTGAAGCGGTGTCAAGTCTGAAAACAATGCTCTACCTTCAGCTTTCTATTCGTAATGTGTTACAAACACATGACATGAATAAGTTAGATCTAACCCCCTCTCATTAGATCTAGTTGATAAGTCATAATGAGTAGTTACACACATTCCTGGGTTCAAAAGGAAATATGTGTCAACATAATTGCCCATCACCATGAACGTTCAGCTAAGTGATCGCTTCATTGATAAGGACAGAGGAACGTAACGACGCAAGCTAACAAAAAATTACTATTCCTGCATCAATAATAGTAGGCTAAGTTTTGATCTCATTCGAAAAGTCCGAAGGTGCTGTTATCTCTTTTTTTAAATATTTGAAAGTATTGTGCACACCACTTTGTGAAAAATAGGAAACAAAATTATTGTAATCTATAATCTATTATTATTTTTATAGACCAAGACATATAATACTGTCAGATAAAGCTAGCATCGACCCTCTTTTGTGCTCGCTGTTCCTTGCACATAAAGCTAGTTATGGCACACGCCAAGAGTCATGCAGTCATAAATCTTAAATTCAGTTTAAAAAATACATTTTTCACCATTTTTTAGCATAATTAAATCTTTTAGCGTCTTGTGAAAGATTATCTTTATAATTTGGTATGTTTGATAATTTTATGTTACTTGGACAAGTTTTCTTCTTATTTTGCCCATCTTTATTTTTAAGCTATAGCATAAAACTCTTTAATTATAATTGAACAGTCTGTTTCGCGCACAGAATAAAATTTTGTCGGATGCGACACAGATTTTACAATTAGACACATTTTAACAGAATGTCTAGACTTTGGAGAGATCCGAAGGAAATATTATAAATGCAAGAAATTGCAGGATATTTTTTCCGTCGTTGTTCCCAGCAGAATTAAAAATTTTATAAAGGCCATTGGCCTTTATGGCGAGTTGTAGAGTGAATTTGATATTATTAAAATGTTTTATTGTTACTTAAAAGTTGTTTTAGATCACAAATGTATTTACACCGAATTTGAATATTTTAACTTTTTAGCATTTTAAAGTAAATTAGTTAGCCAGTCGTGAAGTGAACTTTCGCAGAGGTGAACAACTTGTGTTTCGCGCGCTCATATGACCTTAGCAGTTGCGAGCGCCGTAAAATCTTATACTATACATACATACAAAATTATTTTTTTCTCCCTGTCCGTCCTCCCGTCAGTTGATCACAATATCTCTCTCTGTCTGTCTCTCTCTCTCTCTTTTAATTTTTCCTAATTCTCCTTCGTTCCTTCCCAAGGCCCGCCCCACTTCTTTCATCCCAGCCCCATCCCCTCTTTCTTGCATGCATTCCCCCACCCACCCACCCCCACATCGTGGCCCAGCCCTATAAGATTCTATAAAAAGAAACACCACAGTTTGCGAGTTTAGACCATAGTCGGCGGTATAATACTCCCCACCTCGGCATGCTGCTGGTGGCGCCGCGAAGAGAGAGAGGAGGCTCCATTTGTTCTAAAAGCCCCTTGATATGTTACATGTATGCACTTGTGTCTCATCTGCATTTTCTTTTCACTGTCCACCCTACTCTGTGACTGTACACAACATAATATATCGTGTAGGCAACAAGGGTGGGTGGGGTAATAGTAATAGTAAGTATGCCTCAGAGTAGTAGCTTGACTGTCTAGTTTTCGGTTCCTGGCCAGACATTTTATAATGACTCATTTAGTAAGAAAACAAAGTGCATAGCAACTGAGATCCAACTGACCTTTATTTAGGCAGTTCAGAAAAATGTATAAGACTAACGCTCAAATACTGTACAGAAAGATTTTGAATGCAGTCTAGTTTTTTTATACTGAGTAGGCATTTCTCAAATAGACATTCTGCTGATATCCCAATTGGATTCTGACAGTAGGGAGACAGCTATTATGTCATGGTGTTCTGTTTTATCTTCTGCCTGACTCTCGTTGTTGCAGAGTTCAACAGTGATAACTCAAAAACACATATTTAAGGACGCAGAATCTAGCATGTCCTGTGTTGTAACATCTCTTATCATATCTCTAGATGATTAGACTATTGTAACTCACTCCCAACTGGTCTGAACAACAAATATTTAAATCGTTAACAAATCATTCAAAACAATGCCGCTAGACTGATAACAAGATCTAAAAAACGAGACCATGTCACTCCACTATTAAAAGAACTGCATTGGCTATATGTAAAAGAAAGAATAATATTTAAAGTCTGTGTCGTGTGTTTCAAATCACAAATGTGTAAATAAAACTGTTCCTTTTTATCTACAAGAAATATCAAACGATAACACCCTACTTGTGACACCCGTAAAATCATACAAATCATATGGAGAGAGGTCTTTCTGTGGAACAGATTACCCAGGGGACAAACAAGAACACTTGATAGCTTCAAATAACAGACATCTTAAGCATTTTCTGTTCCCTCAGGCCTATCCTTCATAAGCTTTTAGCATTATTTTTTAAATTATAGTTGTTCTGTGCCTACGTCTACATAAAAATTGTGTGTGTGTGTGTGTGTGTGTGTGTGTGTGTGTGTGTGTGTGTGTGTGTGTGTGTGCGTGCGTGCGTGCGTGCGTGCGTGCGTGCGTGCGAGCGTGCATGGGTGCGTGCGTGCGCATAAGTATTATATTGCATGAGAAGAAAGGAAGTTGTAAGAAAGGTTTTGAAAATGGGTATTCCGATGTAAAGCACATTGAGCAAGCAACTTTTCTGGAAAAGCGCTATATAAATGTTATATATATTTTATTATTATTATTATTATTAACATGTCTTGGACAATAGAATAGGTCTCTATCCAGACATATAGGTATAGATTTGTAGAGAAACACAGTAAGTGCTTGAGGGTCTAGCACAAGAAACAGGCATAGTGGATATAGATAGATTCTGCTTCATATTATGTGTAAATAGATATTTTAAACATTATCTTTGTTTCTTGTGTCATTTAGATTTCTTTGTTTGTTTTTGGCTCAGGTACCCAGGATTTATGTTTAGTGTCACAGGGTTATGGCTCGAGGAGTTCCTACCTGTTCTTTTAACACCAGTTTTCTGATTTTGTAGTTTTTACAAGACAGTGGCTGCAGTATAACCCACAGGGAGCACGAGGCAGGGATAAGCCATGGGGAAACAAAGAGGAGATTTGTGGAGAGTAAAGGGACATGAGAGAGATGAAGCTCACTTGGAACGAGCTTGGAAGGATGGCCGGGGACAAAAATAAATGGAAGGAGCTTGTTTGTAGTCTATTGCCTGCACAGGCATTGATGATGATGATGATTTTATGTTCAGAAAAAAATCTGAGATGTTTTTTTCTAGTTTGTTTTGATGGTATTGATTACTAATTTTTCAGCATTTCTTTGTTTTCAATGTTTTCCAACAGGTTAATAAAGTGAGAAACACTCCTTCTGACTTGAACAAATTCCAGTGCATGTCAGTAGTACCAAGATTTTCAACACAGACAGTCCCAGAGAAAAAAGCAACTGATGATGGCCAGAAGGTAAAGTTATTCCAAAAATTTATCTTTGTTGTATGCTCCCTGGCTTATAATTTATTAGATGAATTAGTTCAAGTTTCTTCTTTCTTTTTTTTGCGTATCCCTACTAGAGCTCAAGATCTAACTATCTGTAAGGTATTCATTTCACAGTGTCGGTGTCGTTGATTTTTAGTTCATGGCGATCTCATCTTATCTGAGAAGGTAGAATCATTCCTTGCCTCACAGGCAGCCAAGTGCCATTTTCAATGGTATTCCCTTTATACTGACTATAGTGGCTTCAGTTTTGGTTGGAATTAATTTTTAATTTTCCCAGATGGTAGCCCTATTATCATATACATGGAAAGTACACATGAGACCTTTGAAACGTTTCATCCTTATATAAATCCAAGAAAACTAGGTGCTGGATCCTACCTACCCTAGAATTGGGGTGTGTAGAGACCATAAGACAGAACCCAACACTGATTGGGACCTTCAGGTAAGGTTGACAGGTGAACACCATACCTGTGAGGCTACTGAATAATAAAGGAAATGGCTCATTCATAAATCCTCTTGAAGAGAGAGAATAATGTAGCTGAGTCAAAGAGGAATGCCTTGATTGGTGTTTGTAGTGTTAACCCTTTTAATTCTACGCTACACAGTGTGTGCAATTGCAATCAGCACAAGCGAACACGGATTTATCTTGTATAGCAGAGTCTGGATGCACCAGCGCTATCATGATAAGTGAATGTGAAAGTTGAGCTAAATGTCAGGCTTTTTGCCGCAGATACATAGCTCAGATGGGGATGGTATCAGTGTTAGACAATTTGAAGTTGTTTCCAAGATGTTGACTGATCAAATGAAGGAAAATAGAATCTGTAGGTCAATTCATGAAATCATTCAGTGTTCCTGACTGTGTCTGGGCATTCCTGTGCTTAAAGCCCATTGTATCAATGACGGGCTTGGGTTAGGGGATTTTCTTTTCACCTGCTGCAAAGCATGTTTTAGTATGACAGTGAAAGGGTTAACGCCTTTCACTTGTCATCATGCTATCTATTTTCATGAGAAAGTACTTTTGTTCTTGTTTTATGTTTCTCCGCAAATGATTCCATGTGTATATTTATGTGAGTGCAAATATTCTGTTTGTTGTAGTAACCAGACTATGCCTTATGGACACAAATATAATAAAGAATTTAATTTCAACATGATGACTATAATGACAAAAGTAAATGGGTAGACATTGGTGTTGGATTTCATTTAGTTTTTTATGGTGGTAACTTAAAATTGTTTCCAGTACTTCTTACTATGTTCTGGTTTTCAAGGGATGTTTTATTGTCCGTCATTTTACATTGCTTTTTGTGTTCTATGAGTGTAATTGACAAACAATAAAGTCAACTTCTTTTGCTAAGGATTTATTTTTTAAGGAACTGGGACAGTTTTGTCTTTGACTTTGAAGTAATCAGTGATGCTAATCTTCCTCGGATCCGAGGAATTCCGGGTTTTGGGCCTTCCAAGAAACTTTCTCCGCGATCTGGTGTCCTCCCGAGTCTCACGAAAGTCGGGGCGCCGCGATGTATGTGAAAATGTAATTCAAAGAGCGCGAATTTTTAATTACACAAAGCAATCATCGTCATCTCGCCATGGAAACCGAAGCCCCTCGCGGTCGGAACAAAGATTCAGAATGCGTGGTGGGCCGGTTAAAAAATTGACCTCCGTGCATGCGAATGCTTCACGGAAAGACTGATGACTAGATACTGTCTTTTCATTGGCGGAGAACTAGAGTTTTGAAGGGCTTTCCATAGTATATTTTTGGCCTTTGGCGTTTGAATAGACTTATGTACTTACCTACTTTATCCGTCCTCTTGTACCTCTAGTAGGGTGTCGAGGGGAGAAAGAGCTTCCTGTCTCTTGCAAGTTTGATGGCCTGGCTGGGTGGAATATTGAATGTTCTCAGGGTATCCTTCACACCCTGAATTTAGGTCTTTCTTGGTCTTCCTCTTGCTTTGTACCCTGATACTTTCCTGTAGCAGGCTTTACTGGCAAGCTGGTTCGGTGCCATACGTGTGAGATCTCCAAACCACCTGATTGTGTTTTAATAGACAGCCTTCAACAATATCGTTGATGGTTTGGAGGATCATGTTTAACTCGAAATATGTAAAATACCGGCACGAAGAAAAGTAGCCTACTAATAGAAAGATCAGTTCATTTTCTATTACTATTAGAATAAAGTCATCAGCGTAGAATCATATTTTACATCAATCCTTCCGTCAAACCCGGAAAGCATGTGACCACACACAGCCTCCCTCCCCACGCAGGAACACTCGGTAGGCTACACTGCAGTATAGAGCCAACTCGCTCGCCACGAGGAGCCGGTGGGGCGCCGACTGGGTCAGTGCTCGGTGTTTTTGTCGAAATAACGACAGATCATCATGTTTTAGGCAATAGAATACAGATTTGTATTGATCTCTCAGTCTTGAAAAAAAAATGGCTTCATGATATCTATGTTATAGTGATTGTACTATGTTAATGTGGAGATGTTTGGTGCACTTGGTACTTTTTTATTGTCTGTCAAACATGGGGTTGCAGCCAGTTGGCTACTTTAGCAATATTTTATCATATTTAGAACAGCAGCCATTTTCTCTAAAATTAACACAGATAAAAGAATGGTACTAATATTCTCAAGAGACACAGGCCTTTCATATGGAACAGATAAAGTTGACGTACAGCTTTTTTGAAAATTTTGTTTCTGATACCTACTAATTCCTCCCTGGTTTGGTCATGGCACCGATGGTTTTCCTCCTTTTGGACTTGTTGTCATTAGCATCGCTGAGTAATAAAAGTTGAAGTAAAATGGTAAAAATACAGTCCAACCTGTTGTAATGCCACATGTTATAGGACACCCACCTGTACAATTGGCCACTTCCCATTTCTCCCCTTGCATTTTTTTTTCCATCATAATGACACTGTAAGATGTCCACCTGTCTAAGATTAAGATAAGTAATTTTTTCCTTGACAATGGGTGGCCATCTTCTTTTAGACAATTTTACTGTCTCATGCTCATGCCTGGGTTGTACTCTAAGGTATCGAATAAAAGGGGGGTTGGAATAAATGGGGGAGGGGGGGGGATGGCACATTCAACCTCATACCCCTGTACTAGTAGTAACAAATCTGTTTTATTTCTCCTCCAGTGAATAAAAGAACAAGAGATCATGAAATTTTAGTGATTTTAGTAAGTTACTGTGACAACTTTTCCAATAGGAACAAACCAGTTTCATTAAAAAATATGAATAAATGTACAAGTTTTTAAAATGCACAGAAAAATCAGGTAGCCAACCCGGTACCTGTACTAATACTGAGGGTAATTTGCCATCATGTAGGCCTACAAAAAAAAAAGTTTCATTCAGATATCATGATTTTAGATAAAATTATGTTTCACATGATCTTCGTGGCAAGCTGGAAAGTAATAAACGGGGGGCCTGGATGGAGCGGGGGTTGCGCAAAAAAAAAAGAAAA